GTGTGTGCCTCTGTGTGTGTGTGTGTGCCTCTGTGTGTGTGTGTGTGGGTTTAAGATTTCCCTTGCTCGGTCTTGTCTCCTGGATCTCCGCGCCTGTGTCAGGTCTCTATCTACTTCCTTCCATTTAAACTTGCTATATTATTTCCTGCTTCTGGAAAAATCTTTTAGTGCATGGTTGTATGAAAATACCATCACTTTGCTTCATCTAAACATTTTCTTGGTCAGTGCTGTGCTGGCATTTATTTTCTTCTTTAACAAAATAAAATGTAGTAAGATAAAACAAAAACCCGTCATATCAAAGTTGGACACGGCAAACTGACTGGAGGAAGAGAACCCCAGAGAAAGCATAAGAGTCAGAGACCCGCCTCATTCACACACTCAGGAGTCCCACAAAGACACTGAACTGAAAGCTGTGATCTATATACAGAAGCCCTGGTGCAGACCCAGTTGTCCCTATACTTGCTGCTTCTGTATCTGTGAGTTCATGTGAGATTTTTCTCAGTTGATTTACAGAGCCTTGTTGTCCTGGTGTTCTCCATCCCCTCTGTCTCTTATACTCTTTCCTCTTCTCTTTTATAATCTAGATCAGATTAGACTATAGTAGTTTATCTAGAACAAATGTAGGAAAACTCAGCCCACTGTGGGCAGCACCATTCCCTACACAGAGGATCCTAAACAGCTAAAGAGTGAGAAAACTAGCTGTGAGGAAGCGAAGAAGACATTAGAACTGCATGCATTTATTTCTCTCTGCTCTTTACTGTGGATATGATGTGACTAGCTGCTAGAATCCTCGCTTTGACCTTCTCCCAATGATAGACTATAAACTGAAATTAGAAGCTGAATAAACCCTTTTCCCCCTAAGTTGCTTTTTTGTCAGGATATTTTATCACAACAACAAAAATTAAATTAGAACCGTTCATGAGGATAAGAACTTTTGTTTAAATTTAATTAAAAAACAAAAATAGGTGTATGATTTTTGTAGATGACAAGTTGGTATATATTTTACACAGGAGTTGGGCATGGTAATTGTGTTGCTACTATAGCAACCCCTAATGGTTTGAGAGGAAACCATTCCATGGGGCTTGTTAGTGACTGATTTCATTTTTTAAAAAAACACTTTATGTGACTAGCAAGCAAGGGAAATTATACCTTCCTAGTTTGAATCCTTCCCAGTTTGAATTCTTAGCCTGTCAAGAGCAGAAAAGAAGTCATGTGACCCACAAAAGAGTAGTGGAAAGCAAACCTACAACAGTGGAGAGAATAGTTGACTTATCTGACATGAGCTCCTGTGTGAATGTTGACTGGGGTCCACGTAATTCATACAGTATCCATGCAAGCATTCCTTGTACACACCAGACATGTGTAGGTAGGAATGCCCGTATAAGCCCTCATTCTACATAGCAGACATGTGTAAGTAGGAACCCCCATGCGAGCACTCATTCTACATACCAGACATGTGCAGTTAGGAACCGTCCTTCCTTTCATGACCCCTGAGCTAAACATCCACAGCAGTAGTGGCAGCACAAACCCTGAGTCTCTGTTCTCATCAAAGAATCAAGTGAGCCTGATGCTAGTGGGTGGGAGCAGTGTTCCCCTGGGAAGAGGAAAGAGAGAGTGTTGATAAAGACATGCTGGTGGTCATTCCTTTATTTTATCATGTAGTGTTGTTTACATGTAACTTAAAGACATTGTCTTGTATTCTTCATGTCATCTCTTGGGTGACTTGTGATGCCCAATATAACATAAAGACTGTAAAGAGCTACCATTCAGCATTGTTTCTCTATTAAAGACAAGAATAAAGAAACCACACCCATGCAGTTTTTGGATTCTCCATTGGATGAATCTGTAGCTGTGGCACGCTTAGACATACCTAAATTCTTAAGACAAGTTACCACAGACTGGCTCAATAGCCAAGTGATACATAAACAACAGTTTTTATTTGGAGAAAATATTTTTATTCTCCTGCTTCATAGTAAAGAACGGGGATTTTTAAAAGCGATAAAATAGGTCTAGAAAGGTGGCTCAGCAATTCAGAGCATGAAGTGCTTTTGCAGAGGCCCTGAGTTGGCGCCCTTAATCCTGAGACTAAAGATGGGGGAAAGTGGGCACTAAAGGTGGGTGGTTCCCTCTGTCAGCTGATCTCAGGAGAGGCTAAAGGGCATGAGGCATGCCATTAGACCTTAGGGATCACACTGAGACCTTAAGACTTCCCTACAGGTTGAGATTCTAGCAGGTTGTGTAGAGGCAAAGGCTCAACAGTGCATGATATTTGACTACTGACAGCAGCCATGGATCCATATAGCTAGGAAAAAGCAAGAGAGGGAAATGTTTGAAGCCTGGCTGCACATCAAAAGCCATGAGAATGTTCCACAGGCAGGTTCCTAAACATCTGTGACACATCCAAATAGACTGTCCCCAAATTACTTATGGATCTTGATGTCAAGCCAGGATTGTGAAGTAGTAATGCAAGGTAGGTAGTGTGGAACTGACTACTGAGGTTCTGAAATTCAGTGCAAAGCACTGAGCTCTTGATTGCTACGGCCTGGCATGAGGAGGAGGCTCCCTGCCAGAGAGACTGCTTAAGATGGATACAAAGAAACTAAGATGGATACAAAGAAACTAAGATACTTGCACACCTGGAAGGTGGGGTGGGAAGAAGAGAGAATACAAACAGAGCCCACTGATTTTTATATTCCAAAGGACTAGATGAAAATCACTACCCCAACTCCAGGGTGCCCAGTAAATTTGTTCAATAAATGCTTAAATAGATGATATGAAATCTGGAAAACTGAAGTTGAATAGAAAATTAGGGTTTCACCAAAACAAAATAAGCAAATTTAAAAGGATGAAAAGTTGGCAGGGAGCTGAGTTTACTTTCAGACTGTGGTAAAAACGCAGGATAAAACATGGTTCAAAGAGCACAAGGGAAGTGTGCGGAGATGAGGCATGGGCCTCTCAGCCTCAGTTCTGGAAACGTTGCTAACCTTTCATGTAGTATTTGCATGTGACAAGCAGACTAAAGTATGAACTGTACTTCTGACAGGTTACATCTGCTCTGGGATTTGCTGAATGTCACCTGAAGGCCCCTGTGTCTGCTTCAGAGAGCTCCTGTTGAATGACAAAGACGATAAGAGCAGTAAGTCCAGGTGGGGAAACCCTGTGGGAAGAGCAGGGCCTTTTAGACCCTGCCATCCGCCATTAAAACAGAAAAGTAGCAAGGTATGAGTTGTACTCCCAGAATTCACAGTTAACTACCAGCCCCCACTGCACTTCACACACAGATGCCACACAAATGTACACACCACACACTACACACACATCACACATATACACACATATGCTATGTACACACACGTACACATATAAATACACACCACACATATACACACCACACATACACACACAAATACACACACCATACATACACACATGCACAAACACAAACAAAAACACATACCACAAATATACACATATACACACACCACACAAACACCACATACACACATACACACATAAATACATACCCCACATATACACACAAACACACACAAATACATATACATGTGCACAAACACACAAACAAAAAATACACACCACAAATACACACATACCACACAAACATGCACATACCACACACACACATCACATACACACACAAACACACACATACCTCACAGATACACATATGTACATACGTACATACATATATATATACATACATACATACATACATACATACACACACCACACACACATACACACATACACCACATGTACACACACATACACCTGTACAGACACACACATCACACACACTACATACACATGCACATATACACACACATACACACACCACAAAATAAAAACTCCTATTTCTCCAGGCTCTGATCTGACAGAATTACTTTAAAAATGTGCTTCAGGTTTGGGGATGTACCTCAGTGATGAAGTACTTGTCTGTCATGTACAAGGCCTTGGTTATTATGCCCAGCAGAATTTCTTGGTGGATTTATTTATTCGTGTTGGAACGAAAGCCAAAAAGTGTTCACAGCTTCCTCTTATTATTTATAGTGTGACAGAAATTTTTTAAAAAATTAAGAACTACTCTTTCTTCTGATACTTTTTCTGACTCTTGAAGATCCCTTTTCCTTTTGATTTATTTTGTTTGCTAACCTTAACTGGCACAATGACTAGATAACATTGACATTCATGAGAAAAAGGTGAGTTGCATTCAGTATTGGGGAGGGAAGATGGGGAGAGGAAGGTCTTGGGGGATGGCACGCTGTCTCAATGCTTGTGCTTTGCCATTGTGTGCTGTGAAATATTTAAGAGGCAGAACAAGAAAAATTATATTACAGTATATAATAATATGTTAACAATATATCTTAAAAAATTAATATCACAGTAAAGAACTGAGTTTGGGTGACCTCGATTCTTATGTTCCTTCTTCAGTTATTGAAGAAACAGTATCTGAAACACATAGAATGAAGAAAGCTCATAAATACAAAGTTATATATTATTCTACTGTCAGTGTGGTAACAAACTTACAGAGGAAGAGTCTACTTAGTTGCTACATCCCAATATGTGAATTGTCTATGATATAGTCTTATGTTACTAGTATGCCCTGCACACTGGAGTGTCTGTGGACTCAGAAATTGTCTTGAATGCTCTATTTTGAACCACTATTGAAAACTTTGAAGCTTTTTATTATAGAAATTGGGGCAACATGATCCTGGCATATACATGAGAGAATGAGGGAGGGAAAGGGGGGAAAGGAGAGAGAGAGGAAGGGATGGAGAGAGGGAGGAAGAGAGAGAGAGAGAATGATAATGCTTCAGTGCACAAAATAAAGACAAATGCATTGGTAAGTTAACAGGCAGCACTGACAGTTGTTTCCAGCATGCAGGTACGTTTCCTATCCTCCCTAGAGAACTTCCTTCCTGCCACCTAGACCCTGTTCCCTAGCCTTTCTTCTCTCCTACATTTTTCCTCCTATTAAATTGCCATGATTTGGATTATTAGTTTGTCTTTGATGGAGGTACTTTTACCCTAAGTGTTATCTCTTTAAGACCTTCCCATCAATATTTTTATTCCTAACTATAAAATTAAAGCTGAGTTTTGCATAGAATTGCATTTCTGTGTCATATAGTGAGAGAGGATAACTGTAAAAGCCTTAAAAAAATAAATCAGTTTCAGATGTGAAGCTACCGGAAAATGATAAGCTCAAAACAAAATTAGATTCGCAAGTTTCCACCTTCTGTCCTTTCATCTCCCAATCTCAGCAGTCAGGTCCCCACCCTCTACCCAAGAATGCAAAGGTGAGCTGGACCCAGGGCCATGTCTTGTTGTTCTGTCTTTTCCACCAAAAGCAACCCTGAGGGTCTCTTACATCCACTTAAGAAGCTTTTATCCCACTACCACTGCCTCCCAGTGCATTTTCCTACTGATTTAATATATTGGGACCATGTTTCTTAGCACGTATTACTGCTAATAAGTTGTTAATGGTGAATAAGAAGAAGAGAAGGAGGAAGAAGAGGAAGAGGAGGGGGTAGGAGAAGGAAGAAGAAGAGGAGGAAGAGGAAGACAAAGAGGAAGAAGGGAAGGAAGGAGAGGAAGAAGAGAAAGAAGAGGGGGAGGAGGGGGAGGAGGAGGAGGAGGAGGAGGAGGAGGAGGAGGAGGAGGAGGAGGAGATGGACTTACCTGGAGGTTGGGCAGGAACACATTACATGTGTGATCACTGCTAGCATCTGTGGCAACATCCAGGAGGGTTCTGTCAGCTAGCATCACAGTAACTAATACTCATTATAAGCAATTTATTTTTAAATATATACACATTTATTTTTGGCTCACAGTTTTTAGAGCTTTCAGTTCATGAGAAGCTGTTCCCCACTAGGGAATGGAGTTTGTGGTGAGGAAACAGAATAGGAAGGTGGTACACAGCATTGCATCTCATGGCCAAGAAGAAAACCGAGAAAGACAAAGAGACAGTAAAATACCCAAACTAGCATAAACATTGCCAAAATAGTGGGAAAGATCTGCTTAAAGACTAGAGAACAGAAAGAGAGGAGGAGGCCAGCAGATGCAAAAACATAAAAGTACACCAAACTGTGGACCACACCAGGGAGGTTATTACAGTGATGAATCCAAGTATTAAGATGTGTGGACTTGGTGTGACCACATTGTTTAACAAAATATCAATGGTTCCCATTTGGCTAATGATTTTTAAACTTTGTAGTATTGCAAATGCATGTCTATGCTATGATCTGGGTTTTACTTTCCATAGTCAGTATTCACCAAATTATGCAGAATACTGGGCATTTTATTATAAAGTGGATTTTCTGTGATAGGATTTTGTCCAACCATAGGCTACAGTAAATACTCTGTGTAGTTTAAGGATGAGGATGCCAAGCGGTCTGGGAGGTTAAAAGTATAAAATACACTTTGAGGTTACATTTTTCATGGTTTAATAGGCTATTACCCGCTGTCAACGGAAAGGCATCTGAAGTGCCTCGGAAAACATGCTAGAGAGAAACAGGCACACAGATGCTAATGACAAAAAGACTATGGCTTTTCTAGCTGAAGTTTGGCAGCTTCATCTAAAAAATAGTATCAATATGACCAGAATTTTTACTTTCCCAAAGCATTCCATGGAAGTATAGCAACCAGAACAGCAAAACCAACGCCCCATAGCCAACTCAATGATACAGAAGTCCTAAACTGCATCTCTCTCAACCAAACGTGTGTTCTTTAAATACTTGCAGGTGGCATAAATTGTTAGTTATATTAGAGCATGAATGGTTCTCATAATGTGTTACAGAAGACAAAAAGCTGAGGGCCTCCTGTTACCACCAAGAAACAGAGAAATGAAAGCCATCAAAGCCGTCACCACAAAGCTTGGAATGTCAGTCTGGGAGGAGCACCTGAAACCAGTGGGTCTCTCTGACTCTATTGTGTGGGTGGACCTAGAGAACCATGTGATCTGGGGTAGCCTGAGCATAACAGACACTGAATAGGGACTCTCAGCACACACCTCCTCTAGCCAACCTCCATGGTAAGGAATAAGTTCTGGAACTAGAATCCAAACAGAGCAGGAAAACAGCTCGAGGGCAAACAGACAAAAAGAAAAGCTAGGTAGATGTGGAGGAAGAAGAGAGACATCAGGAAGCATGTGGGAAAAAAGGCTATGGAGGAGAGGGGTCTTTAGCCCTGAGGATACATCCATGGATACATCCATGGGCACCGTCAAAGTCTAGACATACTGCACTTTCTTCCTATACTCATACCAATGATAAAATTGAGTCCACGAACCTAAGCACAGTGAGAGATAAATAGGAATAATAAACCAGAATGCAGCAGTAGGTTCACACTATTTCTCTCTCTCCTTCTTTTTCTGTTGACACGAAGCAAGTAGAGTATGCAGCATGAATAACCTATAACCTATGGTAAAGGATGACTCATGTCCCCAGTTGGATGGAGTCAGGCAACACAAAGCATTGATTTTAATTATAGTGCTCAGAGATAATACCTCATTTTAAACTTAGGAAATGTATTTTGGGAAATTTCCATTTAATGTTTCTGACCTATGTTTGACTATGGGTAACTGAACCAACAGGAAAATGAGTCATAGATAAAGGGAGGCTACTGTGTTTGTAAACGTCTCCTAATAAGAGAAGAGACAGCCAAAGATCTCAGCCGCTGTCTGTGGTGACATCTCTCACATAGTGAAAGGCCAGGAGCGGGTGTATATACAGTGCTATGGATCTGTGTGGGCAGCCACCCTGTCTCTGTACAGAAGCAAGTAACAGTGACGCATTTAAAACTGTTGCCCATGAAGTCACCTGTTTTCAAAAACTTAATTTTCAGGTTGTCTAATATAAAGTCAAACCTACCACGATAAGTTACCATGCGGATGCTACGTATGCCTGAAACAATAATATATACTCACTTTTCTAGGTAGACAAGAGTCTTTAAAATACGCTATTGCTTATATAATGAGGGAGAATGAAACATACAGATAGAAATTAATGTTTATATAGCAATATATTAATATGTTAATAAAAAGATGTCACAGCATTTAAAAATAAAACTGTCCCTTCAGGCAGAGGAAGAAGCCAGAATAAATAAGAGAAAGATAAGCAC